CACACACACACACACACACACACACACACCCCTAATGACTCCTGGATCAGCAGAACTCTATATCTAGGGATCAAAGTTGAAAAACCACTACACTAAATCATTCTGGATGTTTCTTCTTCTTCTTCTTTTTTATTATTATAATTATGAGTTAGCTCATAAAGGAATATACATGGAAAGGGTAACACATTTAAATAACACAGAAGCACAAAGTATAAGAGTCCCGAGATGACCACAGCCCGAGGATTAGCAAAAATATTTTTTTGCTGCCAATTTTCTTCTTATAGTCCTAGAGCCCTCTAGCCCTGAGACCCATTGCTATCAAGCCAATCCCAGCCCATGGTGACCACGTGGGTTACAGAGTAGAACTGGTCCCCAGTCTTCTTGGCTCTAATCATTATGGAAGCAGATCACCAGGTCTATATCCTGCAGAGTGGTTGGGTGGCTTTGAACCGTTAACCTTTAAGTGACTGGTCAAGCTCAAACCATTTGCGATACTCGGGGACTTTATAACCCTGCAAGTACATTCTTCTAAAATGAGCTAATGAATATAAACAACTTGGCTGAAGTCTCCACAGGAGAATTATTCTGCCAAGACCCTCACCTGCTCTTCACTCCATCTAAGCTCCAACTTTCCCTCTGGCCTCTCTTTCTTCAATCCCGTCCCCCTCCTCAGAGTCCTTTCAGGACCCCCCTCAACAGCTGCTGACCCTCCCTTGGCTCTCACCTGGGCTGTGGAAGACCCCAGAGACTGAGGTAACACCTTTGGACATGAAAGCCTTCAGGGTCTGGTGGACACAGGCAAAGTCCTTGGGATAAGTGAGGACGGTCTCCAGGTTTCGCTTGGTGCTGTCCCCAGCCCCTGCAACAAAGGCCAATAGGAGAGGTGATGAGGAATGGGGGACTCATCTTCTGGGAGCAGGGTTGAAGGAGCAGGCTGGGACTGGGAAGTTATTCCCTGCTACGGAGAGAGTCAGAGACCATTGGCTGGAAGTCTTTTCGGAAGATAATAGATATGTTAGAGATAGCAGGGTAGGGTAATTATCAACAATCAGACTTGGTTCTTCTAGGGCTTTGAACACGATCCTCTCCCATCTCTTTGCCCATTTCAATCACACCCATCTGAGAAAGCTTGATCCAACCACTAGCGATCAAGTTAATCCAATGAACTAAATTTTAGTTTGGATAGGTTAACAAAGACTCACCCTCTAGGCAGGGGCATTTGATGGCTATTTAGAGGAGAAATCAGAGAATCATAAAAGAGGATGTCCAAAAAAAAAAAAAAAAGAGGATGTCCAATGCCCTCTGTTACCCATTCATTATGAACTACTTGCTGTATACATCTTCCATGCATTATCAGTTAACACTTATTGGGCATTTACTGTGTTCCAGGTATCAGAAGTACTTCTCCCATATTATCTCACTGAATCTCTAAAACAATCCCTTTACATAGGGGCAATTACTACTCCTACTATACAGAAGAAGAAACCGAGGTTTGGGAGATGAGGGAAATTGCTCATGGAAGGTCCCAGAGCTAACAAGAAGAGGCTGCAGGCAGGAGACAGGGCTGCATCTTCTGGACAATTAAGAAGCTCATGGAAACCAACCAACTGATATTTGCCTCCCAGGGGACATTTGGCAATGTCTGGACACATCCTGCTTGCCACAACTGGAGTGGGGTGCTGGTGGCATCTAGTGGGTAAAGGACAGGGATGCTGGCCATCAGGGACTTCTGAAGACAAGTTTTTAAGAGCTCCCTATATGGTCTCCAGCATCCTTCCCTAGACGTCCCCCTTGCGATTGATCACCCTTTGCACCCAGAGCTCGGTAGCATGTCAGTGCTGTTCCAAGGGTGCTTACCCCATGGACCTGGACATGCTCCCCAGGGAAGGCAGAGGGACTGATACTTAGGGGTCTTCCATGGAGGCAGACTCACTACCATTTTTGCAGGGCGAGTATCACCATGTCCATTGGACGTGTGGTTAGGAGAGGTTCGGTGGACTCCTCAAGGTCACACAAGGAGGCAACAGCATTGGCAAGACTCTGTGATCATTTTCATCTCCCTTCTCACCCCTCCCCCGAACAGGGTTGGTGGCTGGGGCCTTGTTCTCTATGTTCTTCAATAAGGCACAGTTTGACAAGCCATGACCTACTTATTGACCGGTTCCCATCAAGTCCGTTGATACTCATGGTGACTCTAGGTGTGCCAGGGCAGAGCTGTGCCCCATAGGGTTTCCTTTCTCTGTCCCCCCCACCCCCCATTGTTCTCCCCACAGGGTTTTCCAAGGGCTGATTTTTCAGAAGTGGATTGCCAGGTCTTTCTTCCCAAGGGCCTCTGGGTATGCTCGAACCTCCAACCTTCCAGTTAGCAGCTGAGCACGTCAACCAGTTTTACCACCCAAGGCACTTGCAAGCACTAAATCCCACCGCACCCACCCTGCCCCAGGGCCGATTCTGACTCATAGTGACCTTACAGGACAGAGTCGAATTAGTCCTTAGGGTTTCTGAGTCTGTAAATCTTTACAGGAGCAGACAGCCCCCATCTTTCTCCTGAGGAGAGGCTGGTGGGTTGAACCACTAATCTTGTGGTCAGGAGCCCAGCCCTTAGCCCACAAGGCCACCAGTGCAGATTAAGTCATGATTAAATGAGGGAATGAATGAATGTCCAAGAATGAAAAAACCCCCGCGTGGATGGAGCTCATCTGCTAACTCCTTCTCAGGAGCACAGCCTGGTTGAAGGGGCCTGGGTCGGTGGCCCTAACGGGCGTGCTCAACGCACCATGTACAGAGAACTCTGTCTGGCTTACCAAGCAGGATGTAAGTCAGGAGGCTGGCGATGCTGAGCGGGGAAAAGATCATGTTGGTCTCAGCCTTCTTGATCTCTGAGAAAGCCTGGTAGAGCTTCAGGGAGAAATCGGTCAAAGCTTCCCCCAGCACACCAGGGGCCACAGCCTTTTCCAGATCGGAACAGGAAGGAAGGGGTTCTGAGCAGAAGGGCTCAGTAGGGAGAGTGGTGGAGGACTCGGTGGCAGGCTGGGTAGTGAATTTAGTGATGGGTTTTTGCGTCAGTTGGGAGGTGGGTTGGGCCGTGGGTTGAGTGGAGGCTTGAGTGGAGGGCTGGGTTGTAGATTTGGCAAGGGTTTGGGCTGTCATGGCTGACGGCCAGGTCGAAGAGCTCCCGGTGTGCTGACTGGTTGGATTCCCAGGAATGTCTGCCTCTGTGTCGTGTTTTTCGCTTCTCTCTTGAAAGCTCTCCCCGGGGCTGTGGCTGGTACCATCTGGATTTGAGGAGGCTCCACCGTCCTGTGGTTCAAGACACCGAGTTTCGTTTTTCCCACTAGGCAGCACATATGCAACTCAAAACGGGAAGGGGTGATGGGGAGGTGAAGAAGGTTCTCTGCGGGGGTACCATTGCTGAGAAAGCCTGGTGTGTGAGCAGTCTGTCCTGGGGTCACTGTCACTGATTCCTCCAGAGAGGGGGTGCTGTGGGGAATACTGAGGCAGAGACCATCTCTGCAAGTGGGAAGGGCAGATAGGCCTTCTTTCTCTCTGACCAACTGCTGCCATACAGAAAGCTGTCACCCAAGCAATGACACTTGAACGACATTGGCCACTTATCCATGTCCTTGTCCTTTCTTGAAATATCTGCCTGGCCTGAATAGCCATTTCAGCTTGTGGCCTTCATTTTATCACAGTGGGTTTTCCACAGTTTGAGTTGCTACTCATTAGTGGGTAGTGAAAACAACCAACATTTCAAAAAGGAAGGAATGAAAGCAGGGGGGAGGTGTTGGTCAATATTTTCGTTGTTCTCCCTGGGTGGAGGAGCCCTGGTGGTGTAATGAGTTTTGCGTTAGGCTGCTAACCACAAAGACAGTGGTTCAAACCCACCAATTGCTCGAACAGAGAAAGATGAGGCTGTCTGCTCCCTTAAAGATGTACAGCCTCAGGAAGCCACAGAAGGAGTTCTACTGTCTTACAGAGTGACTGTAAGTCAGAATCCACACGATGACTCCGACCTATATGAGTTTCTGAGACTGCAGCTGCTACCTGGAGTAGAAAGCCCCTTCTCTTGTGGATCGCAGCCCAACGCATAACCATTACGCCACCAGGTCTCCTGGATGGCGCTCAACGATGCTGAACAATCTTCTACAAGACACAGGACAACCCTTCCTGGCAAAGAATGAGCTAGTCACAGATGTCCACAGTAGTCCCACTGTGACACTATGTATGACCCTGATTTCTCAGATGAAGAAACGGATGCTCAGACCTACTAAGTCACTAGCCCAGGGTCTCAGAAGTGAGGGAAACAATCGCGGTGAATCCAGGCTTGTCTCATAACTATCAAGGGACATTGCAGATGTCCACCAGCACACAGGCTCGCTCTCTCTCTCTCTCTCTCTCTCTCTCCTTGCCCTGCTTGGTGGGCAAGGTAAGGTTTGTTTATTCCCCATTTCGTTAGTCTGGCGAACATGACCGTCCAGGATTTGAACCTGTGTCTGACTCCAGTCCAGCTCTCTTCCCCGCCCTCACCCACCTCCCTGCTTTAGGAAGGCAGACACTGGGATCAGCGCAGACTTGCTGAGCACAGAGCAGCTCTCCTCACTCCGCGGGGCATTAGGAGTTAATCCTCAGTAACCCCCCCCCCTCCCGCCCCTCCTCCACCCCAGGAAGGGGCCGCTCACCCGAGCCTGCAGCAGCAGCAGCAGCAGGAGGGTCAGCGGGGTCAGCCTGGAGGCCATCTGGGCGGCGGCGTCTGCAGAGACCTGTGGAGGGAGCCAGCTTCGGAGCTGACTCGGACCCCGACTCACCTCGGTACCCCCACCCCCTCGCGGGCCCGCCCCCATTCCGTTCCCAGCCCCAGCAGTTTTCCGGGAGCTCCCCCAGCTCCCCTCGGGGCCACCTACTCCGTGGCTCCTCCCTCGGTTTTGTTTTCCCCAAACCGCTCCCTTTCCCGGCACCCGCTGGCCTTTCCCCTCCTCCACACCCCTGCCCCTGGGCCCGGGGTCCTAGCCCATCTGTTCAATCTTGGGGGTCCCGCTTTAGCCAAACAATGAGGCCACAGACGGGAGGAGGAGGGGAGGGGCAGAGAGGGCTGGGGGCTGCAGCCCCGGGAGGAGGAGGGGACCCGGAGGAGGAAGAGGCTGAAGTCGCTAGTAGAAGCAAGTCTGCGGTAGATGAAAGTGGGCTGGGAGGGGAGGAATGCAGCCTGGGGACCCCCGCCCCCCGCCCACCCCCTGCCCCAAGACCTTTCACTGTGTGCTCCCAGACAGCGCCAACTGCTCCCAACTCCTGGTCAGCGGTCAGCCTCCGTGAGGACTGCGTGGACAAGCCTGCCGGGTCAACGAGGGTGGGGTGTGTGGGGGGGTCAATCTTAGCTATTGGCTGGCCAGGACACTGCCCAGTTACAAATTAAGCATGATTGATTGCTGGTGTGAATTCCCGTAAATCCGGGAGGGATGGACCCCACTTCTGGGTTCTAGTGTATGGGCTGAGGCCCGGGAACGTCCACTAAATTCCCATGGGAGTGGGGTGGGGAAACTTGGGTGCCCTCTCAGTTCCACACAAACCAGAGACCTCTCCCATCTTCCACTTGCTGGGTTTCTTGGATTTGGGGGAAATGGGCCACTACCACCTGTTTTAGTTTTAAAGCAACAGACTTTGAGGAAATTGCTCATATCAATATTGCTGATCTTCAAAGTAACCCTTTGGAAATTGGGTAGAGTGTGTCCACTGGACAGGAGCCCTGGTGGCCTAGTGGGAAACACATTAGGCTGCTAACCAAAAGTTCAGCAGTTCGAAACCACCAGCTGCTTTTCAGGAGAAAAAGGGGGTGTCTGTTCCCTGAAAGAGTTCCAGTCTCAGAAACTCACAAGGGCTGTTCTACTCTGTCCTATAGACTCGCTATGAGTTGGAATGGATTCGGGGGCAATGAAAGATGTCCACTCTCTCGTTGGGAGACAGAGCCTTAGAGCTGTTAAACATTGGTCCCACGGTCACTTTCCTTCCAAAGGACATCTGGACTCTGACCTAAGTCTGTTGGTGTCCCAACCCTGTCCCCGTTCGTTCTCCCCGATGCCTCGGTGAGCTTCAGTCAGTGTTTCTTCCCCTGTGCGAAGTGTGGGGCAAGTGGTTACCACGCTCACCTGCCAACAAAAAAGGTGAAGGTTGCCGTCTCCCTAAAGCAGCGGTTCTCAACCTGTGGGTCGCAACTCCTTTGGGGTCGAATGACCCTTTCACAGGGGTTGCCTAAGACCATCGGAGACACTGCTCCTCTACCAGTCTCCAGGTAGGTCAGCCCACATGCAGATACCCCGGCGTGAAGACTGTTACCCATGCGACACCATGCTTCCAGACCAAATTTCATTTATTTCTCATTAGAAATAAATAGTTCACAATATATAATTACATATTGTTTTTGTGATTCATCACTATGCTTTCATTACCGTATGTTCAATTTGTAACAATGAAAATACATCCTGCATATAAGATACTTACATGATGATTTATAACAGTAGCAAAATGACAGTGATGAAGTAGCAAGGAAAATAATGCTATGGTTGGGGGTCCCCACCACATGAGAACTGCATGAAAGGGTCGTGGCATGAGGAAGGTGGAGAATCGCTGAAGAGGCCCCTCAGAAGAAAGGCCTGGTGACCTGCTTCCCATGGTCTCAGTGCTGCTCTGACCCACTAGGCACCATGAGCTGGAGTCCACTGGTTAGCAACTGGTTTTTCTCTTGCGAAAGAGACAGAGCTTCGGAGCCATCCGGCCCAGCAAGCATTTGCCTAAGTGCCAGTCCTGGGGGTGCAAGCTGAAGTACCTGTCCTGGGGTGAGGGCTGAGATTGCTGGGCTGGAAACCAAGAGATCTGGCTTGTGCATGACTCAGGCAGGTTGTTTTAGCCCTTTACAGGAAGGGGGTCTCCTTCCCAGGCTTCCAGACCAAATACTCAAACTCGCTGTTATTGAGGCGATGCCCACTCATACCAACCCTATCAGATAGGGCGGGCTTGCTCCTGTGGGTTTCCGAAGGTGTAACTCTTTATGGAGTAGAAAGCCTCATTTTTCTTCTCCTCAATGGCTGGTGGTTTCGAACTGCTGACCTTGCAGTTAGCTGCCCAGCACCTAACCCACTCCACCAACCGGGCTCATCTGCCTGGATCTTATTTACTCTATAAAAATATTTTTTCATTGTTTAACTGAAATTTAAGTTGACCTGGGCTTCCTGTATTTTATTTGCTAAATCTGGCGAGCCTCCTGCCTCTACCAAACAAGGAGGTTGTCTCAGATGATGTAATACAGCTTAAATGTTCTGTGATCATCTTCTTGCTGGCCTCATCCCCTAGCCGCGCATTTAGAAAGCTGGTTGCTAACATCAGAACGGCTGTTCCAAGGGACTGGCCGGTGACGGGAGCCGGAGAGCATATGTGTGCCACCTTGGAGGTCCTTGGGGAAGAGGAAAAATGCTGGGCTCCAGCTGGGCCAGGCCTTCATTTCCAGCCGTCTTTGGAACCTCTGTGCTTGGGTCAGAACCATGAGGTAGTTACGGTATCCTCGGTACCCTGGTCTGAACAACTGCACACACATTGCCACTTCTCCATGCCCAGTGCTCGAGCTGGTAGGCATCATGAGCTAGTAGATTCTGGAAAATAGGTCAGTAAGGAAGGAAAGGAAAATTCAAAAGCCACCTAGTCGATTCCAGCTCCTAGCAACTCTATAGGACAAATAGAACTGTAATCTTTTTTAAAATTATGATTTAATTATTATTTTTAAAAATCATTTTATTGGAGGCTCTAACAGCTCTTCTAACAATCCATACATTTATTGTGGCAAGCACATTTGTACATTTGTTGCCATCATCCTTTTCAAAATGTTTTCTTTCTACTTAAGCCCTTGGTATCAGCTCCTCATTTTTCCCTCCCTCCCTCATGAACTCTTGATGAATTATAAATTACTATTATTTTCATATCTTACACCGTCTGCTGTCTCCCTTCACCCACGTTTCTGTTATCACCCTGTGGGGATGGTGTTATACATCGGTCATTGCGAACAAAATTCCCCCTTTCTTGCCGTCCCCCTTCCTCCACTTTCCCATTACCCTCATGGTATCACTACTCCCACTGTTGCTCCTGAGGGGTTTATCTGTCCTGGATTCCATGTGTCGAGAGCTCTTATCTGTACCACTGTACATGCTCTTGTCTAGCTGCATTTGTAGGGTAGAGCTGGGGTCATGATAGTGGTGGTGGGGGAAGCATTAAAGACCTAGAGGAATGTTGTATGTTTCTCAGTGCTGTGCTGCACCCTGACTGACTCATTCCTTCCTTGTGACCCTTTTGTGAAGGAATGTGCAATTGTCTACAAATGGGCTTTGGGTCTCCACTCTGTCCCCACTCCTTTGCATCAATATGATTGTTTGTTTGGGGTCTTCTGCCTGATACATGATCTTGTTGACACCTCATGATCACACAGTCTAGTGTGCTTCTCCCATGTGGGCTTTTTTGCTTCTCTGCTAGATGGCCCCTTGTTTATCTTCAAACCTTTAGGACCCCAGACCCTATATCTTTAGTAGCCGGGCACCATCAGCTTTCTTCACCATGTTTGCTTATGCACCCATTTTGTCTTCAGCAATCCTGGCAGGAAGGTGAGCATCACAGAATGCCAGGTTATTAGAACAAAGTGTAGACCTGTAATCTTTACTGGAGTAGAAAGTCTCATCTTTCTCTTGAGAAGTGGCTAGTGGTTTTGAACTGCTGACCTTGAGGACAGAAGCCTAATGCTATACCACCAAGCCTCCTTTATACAAAGAGAAGGTGGTGAAAAGTAGCTAAGTTGGGCACTGGGGAAAGTGCTTGCCGTTCATCCTCTCGCTGATTCTCAAGACACGGATGAGACAGGTACTCACAGTAGTCTTACTTTAAATTTTACAAAGAGGTTCAGAGGAACGAATTGATTCATTCAAGATTACACAGTTAGCACATGACAAAAGCCAGCACTTGGACTCAGTTTGTTCATTGCCATTGAGTTGACGCTAACTCCTGACGACCTTGTGTGTAACAGGACAACATCATGCCATTCCAGCCCATTTTAATGGCCGTTGACATGTTTGAGCCCATTGTGGCGATACTGTCAATGGGTCCCCTGTGGGTTTCCCTCGTTCAACAGATCCTTTATCAAACAGGATGCCCTTCTCTGGTGCGTTTCTTGATTTTCTGAGGACGTGTCCAAAGTAACTGAGCAGAAGCCTCACCAGCCTCTCTTCTGATGGCAATCTGGTTGGATTCCAAATCAGATTTGCTCGGTCTTCTGGCAGAATAGCCAATAGTCCTCACAGTCATCACAATGTAAAGACATCCACCCTCCTTTTGTCTTTGTTTTTTAATGGTCTGGCTTTCTCATGCCTGAGGCCATTGAAAAGATGCCCCACCCTAAGACGCCTCCTCTTGGGTCATTTGACCCCAAACTTTGTATTAACATTTATGAGGTGGGCTTCTAAAAATTCATAGTAATTCCATTATCTTCTAAATTTTGTTTTTGGAGCCATCTTTGGACTGGTACACATCCAGAGCTAACCTGAAGCAGGCTACAGAGAGAACATTCTTTGTCCAGATGCAGGTGCCTGATGCTTTATGGACCAAATTCTCAGCTGGACAAGTCCCACTGGAGAAGCTCTCCCAGATGGTGACCCCTGTTGGTGTGGTGGTTATGTGTTGGGCTTCGATCCGCATGATCGGCAGTTCGAAGCCATTGGCAGCTCCTTGGGAGAAAGACTAGGCTTTCTACTCCTGTAAACAGTTATAGTCTTGGAAACCCACAAGGGGTCACTGTGAGTCACTACTGAGTAAATGGCAGTGAGTTTGGTTTGGGTTTGGTAGGTCTATCTGGGTGCAACAACCTTAGTTCTCTGGGATGATGTCTCTAAAAAACAAACAAACAAACAGCAATACCACCCCAGTTGATGTCAAGTCAATGCCATGTGGTACAGGGTGGACCGCTCCATAGAGGTTTTATGGCTACGACTTTGGGAGCAGATCACTAGGCCTGTTCTGCCAGGGTACATCTGGCTAGGCTTGATGAGGAGCTGAGCATGTAACCATTTGTGCCACCCCAAGACTTGTAACTGTCTCTTCAGATGAATATATTAAAGGGTTTCTCAGCTTCATGGAAAGTTGCATGAAATGGGAGCTGAAGATTTCTTCATCGAATGTCCCAGAACTTTTCTCCAATGCTAATCATCTGAGGTTACAGAATTTCTCAGTGGTACCTGTGTTCAGATGTATCATCAGAATAGGGCTGTGAATTCAAACCCTCTTCCACTGGGGCAGGTCTGGGGT